ATTGGAGATGTCTTTATTGATTTATGTTTTTATGTCCTGTCTATTGGTAGTAAGGGTGTGTTGAAATCCTCCAGTATTATTGTGGTTGGGTCTATGTGGAATTTGATGTCGCGGCATTTTTTTTTTAATGTAATTGTGTTGCTGACATTTGAAGCATAATGTTTACTATCTTCTTGCTGGATTGTCCCCTTTACCAGGATGTAATGGCCTTATTTGTCTCTTCTGATTATTTTTTGCTTGAAATTTGCTTTGTCAGATATGAGAATAGCTGTTCCTACCTGTTTTAAGGGTTCCATATGCATGGAATATTTTTTCCATTCTTTCACCTTTAGCCTATTGGGGGTCTTTGTCCATGAGATGAGTCTCTTGTAAACACCATGTAATTGGATCTTCTTTTTTGACCCATCCTGCTAATTTGTGTGTTTAATTGGCAGTTGAGACCATTACAATTTAATATTAATGTGGATATATGTATATGGTTTTCTGACATTATAGTTTTGTTGTATTTAATCTTGTCTTGATTCTCATTTAGTGGATTATACTTCTATTGATCTTCCTCTGTGTGGGAGTTTTGGGAATAGGTTTTTTAGTTCCTTGTGTGCAGTTTATCTTAGACTATTCTTTGTAGTGATGGCTTTATGTGCATGAATTCTTTTGGTTTATTCTTATCATGAAAAGTTTATTTCCCCCTTAAATTTGAAACTGAGATTTTCTGGGTATAGTCACATTGGCTGACAGCTGTTTCCTTTAGAGCTTGGAATATTTCACTCAAGGTCCTTCTTGATTTTAGGATCTGAACTGAGAAATCAGAATTGAGCCTTATTGGTTTGCCTCTAAATGTGACCTGATATTTCTCTCTTGCAGGTTTTAATATTCTCTCCTTGTTTTCTATGTTAGTCATTTTAATTATGATATGATGACTTGGAGAGCTTCTTGTTTGAATAGGTCTATTTGGGTCCTTCTCCTGTATGTAGATATCTAATTTATGATAAGGGAAAAGTTTTCTGAAATTATCTCATTGAAAATATTCTTTTATGCTTTTTGCTTGTATCTCTATGTTCTCTTCTATCCCCATGATTCTCAGGTTTGGTTGGTCTTTTAATGTTGGAGCAGAGTTCTTGTATATTCTGTTCTTGTTCTATAATTTTTCCCTTTATTGCATTCTGTGTACTCAAGAACAATACCTTGTCTTCAAGAGCTGAAGTTCTATTTTCTACACAATCTAATCTGCTATTGATATATTGAAGTGAATTTTTAATTTGATTTTGTCTTTCATTTCTAGGATTTCTGATTCAGCTCTTTTTATTATTTCTATTTCTAGATTGAAGTGGTCTTCTATCTTCTGCATTTGTTCTCTTCTTTCTTTGATCTTCCTTTAGTTCATTGAATATTTTAATAATCAGGTTTTTATAATTTTTCTCTGGGATTTTGTCCATATCACTATCATTGGGATACTTTGTTGGGGGATTTTGAATTTTTTTTTTGGGGGGGGGGAGATTTGTTTGCCTGTTTCTTCATGTTTTTAGATGTATTGGACTTACACATCAATTAAGATGGATTCCCCCTTTCTCTTTTTTTACATGTGTGCTTTCACATGTAATTATCTTATTTGTTCTGGGATTTTTTGATATATTAGTAGATGTCAAGGGATGGGACCTGAAGTTCCTCTCTGATTGTTTTTCTTTGGGTCCTTAGGTTGGAGATGTCTTTATTGATTTATTGTTGGTTTGGGGCTATTGTCTCTTCAATTCTTTGAGTTGGAGTAATGTCAGGGCTCAAACGGGTTTAGACTGTGTGGGGGGTGAGATTTACTGTTGCTTAGTTGAGTTGTATTTCTCAGCTGCAGGCTCTCTACTCTGTGATCTTGAATTGTCCTGATCTCTTCCCAGTCCTTTTAGAGGGAGGGAGGATCTGGAGTAGCATTAATGTCAGCAACAGATGTATGGCTTTAGATAAATGTCCAGTGTCTTCTTTGAAATCTGTAACACTAATTGCTACTTATTTAGGAATGGTCGGGTCAGCATTTAACCACAGTACACAATAAAAAACTGTGAACTAGGTCTGGCATTCAACAACAGGTATCTAGTATGTCATCCAGTATATTAATAGTTACACCAATTTGAATGGGCTAGGAATTACATAGTCTAATCATTAGTTTTGGTTGTTGTCTGTCTGTGTTCACCTGCCTTTCTTTCCATTTCTTGAGATATGTAGATAGATAGAGCAAAAGATGGGGATTTTAACCCTTCCTGTTTTCGTATTGTTCTCCGAGCTGCCAGTTGGAGTGGCCTAAGACTGAAGCTCTTTGATATAAGTCTCAGTTTAAATTCTCACTAGTATGAGATGGGATGGATGAGGAAGTAATGTCAGTTGGAGTTTCATCCATACAGACCAGATAGGCACCCTCCCAGGGTAAAGGTTCTACAGAAACTCTCACCATTTTTGAAATGAATTTCTGTGCCATAGATACAGCTGAACTAAATATGAACATTAGTTCACAAATTAGTTTTTCAAAGGCATGAATCAAGTAAGAAAACTTTTAACCAAAGGCATTTAATTTTAAATTGTATAGCATGATCAAGAATAATCATGTAGAAATTTTCTAGGTAGAGAATTTATGTATTCTGGGTGTTTATTTAAATATCAATATTTTAAATCCCACAAATTGACACTTTCTATCCATCTTCAATGAGCTAAGATTTTTTTGTCAGTTGTATCTGAAGTTTCTTTAAATTATATAGGTAACACAGAAGAGGAACTGGATTGTTTTGTACATAAGATTGCTTCCACTTGAAATGATGTCACATGGACTTGAGAACAGTTATCTTGTACATGATATTCTTAGAGATAATAAGACCTCAATTGATAAACTCTTGTGCTGTGCGTATGCCATGTAAAATATGTGCAAGTATGGACTGAGACCTCTGAAACTGTGAGCTCAAAATAAACTTTTCTTTACCCAAATTGTTCTGGTCGTTATTTTGGTCACAATGATGAAAAGCTGACTAACACAAGGATCTTCACAATATATCTCATGATTTTCTGAACTTTGGCATTCCCAGTAAAGGTAACTCTCCCTTTAAGTAGGCCTCTGCTCTGCATTGATGATGATAGAAAGCTGCTTTTTCCCAGGGAAATTTCTTGACCTTTGCATTTTATAGTACTGCAAAGCCATTGCAAAATGCACCTTATCTGTTTTCTGAAAAGGCTTTCAAGAGCTTTAGTCATGGGGCTGGGGAGGATTTACCCCTAAGTGTCTCCTATAATGCTTATCCTGAGCAGGGTGGCTCTTCCTTCTGGTTTGGGATGCTCTGACCATATATTCCCTTCACCAAGCTCTCCTGTTTTGGATCCCAGAGGGCTCAGTTTCTTTGCAGCATGTGGGAAATTTTTATTCATGCAATTGCATAAGACATGTTTAATGTCCCTTTGCTCTTGGCCCTGCTCCATACTGATTCCTGTTTCTTCCAAGTAGACATGCAGGACATGGGAAGTTGCCATGTTCCTGCTGGAGGTGCCCTATGCATGAATCACTAACACTTGGAATTCAAGTTATTTGAAGAAATGAATATATCAGTGGGAAGGCCTCCAGCCTGGCTATGCTCCCTGCTCTCCAATTTAGACTTTAACTCATTACCAATTGACTTTGAAGGTCTGATGAGTTAGAATCTTGATATACATATATAATATATAGATGTTATTTTTTTTATTATATATATAAAATTATATATATTATGCAGAGAGCTGAGAAGTTGATAATTCTGTAATATAATCTGTGGATGCCAAAGAGGACTGAGAGAGTAGAACATCTTCCAAGGATGCCAGATACAGCAGATGACTGACCTCAGCAGTTGTCCTATTACATACTTCACAGAGAGGGTCTGGACATAGCAACTGGCGAAAGTGGGTGGTATCAAGATGCTGGCCCAGGGGACTGCAAAAGAAAGGAAGTACAAAGCTGTAACCAGGACCAGCACAAGGAAAGGAAGGCCCCACAGTCTTATTGGTGATGGGACCACCTGAAGCCTCTTACCCTCATCATAATCCCTACATTTATTACCCCACAACACACTCTATAGCCTCTCCCAGGGCCTTCACTCCCATATCTGTTGCTATGGCTCCACATCCCTGTGAGAGGGGCAAGCTGCCCTGAATCCCTGAGGAATGCCTAAAATATATGATAAAAGGACCAGGAAAGAGGAGGAAATACTAATCACCTTTTCAGGATAGAAAACAGCTTCCTTCTCTCCTCTGCTTCTTTCTGGCAACTTCTCTGATCTGGGAAATCAGGAGAGACAGTGATATATAATGAAGGTAGAAACATAAGGACTATACAGGGTTCCCTTTTGGGGAGTTCTTTAGGATATCAAAGTCCAAAAGCCCCAAGAATCAGTAGAAAAGGTTAAATGTTCAAAAATAATATTAAGAAGGTTCACATGAATATCTGGCTTCATTTGTAAAGTATAATCACATATATCATCCCATACAATGTTCAAAATTACAAAGTGAAGCATAGGAGTCAGTGGTTGCCTAAAAGATAAATCTGAGCAGACAGAAAGTAGAGGACTTAACACAATATCAGGAGGTAGAAGTTCTGAATACAAAGCAACCAATAGTTCTTTCTCAGTATCTTACCTGGTCACTTATTGGACAACTCCCATTGTCCCATTGTCCATGTCCATCAGTGCTTCATGTCATAGGTGGATAGAGCAGGGACTTTGAGGAGTGTCTCAGGTGTGACTGTGTTCCCCTGAGTCTCTCCTCTGAGGGTTTTATTTCCTGAGATACACTGTTATCTAGCAAGTGACATTTTTAGAGATCATAGACCTGGCACCTCATAAAATGGACACAAAGGTTCATCCTTGCAAAGCTCAGGTCAGACAGACAGACCCTTACCTTTAAATGTTCCACCTTTTCTTCTTCTTTTGACACTTCCCTGACTCTAAGAAGAAAAAGAAAAGAATGTGAGCCTGAGACTTGCTTCTTTATTATTCTCTCTAGGCTTCTCAGACATTCATTCAAGAATAATATGATTCTACATTTAAATAATTATTTCTTCCTTTCATTAAATTTTAAAGATGATCAACTATTTTCAATTTTTCCTATCTTGAAATCTTCAAAGGATGATTTTTTTTCCCTGTGCAATCCATACTTGATATTCTCAGAAGTCCTCTGCTCAAAGAGGACATAGAATCTGGGGCCAACAGTCACATCTGTGTTCTCCCAGAGGAGTCTGTATCCTGGGGATAGTGCTCAGGTTTCAGACTCTACTCAAAGGTCAGCACTAGTTTCCTGATCAGTCCAATATGAAGGAAGGAAGGCTCTACTGACACTTAATCCTAAGTCCCATTCCCATGTCAGGCATCTTTCACCTGACATGTGAATGGGACTTAGGATCAAGCATCGAGAGTCTTCTCGTTCAGAGAAGCAAAACTTTCTAACCAAACAAATGCAAGTCACAGAATCAGGAGGATTTTACCTAGAATCTTCCATTACACCCAACTTCAGGTGGAAACCTTACACCTTTTTGAACCTCTATCGGTGCCTGAACAGTGATGGCCTGTCCTCTCTGCAGATTTCTCATCTCAGATATCTCTCTGAGCCAACCAAGCTGATTTAGATATGTGGGAAGAGGAACAGGAAATAAAGATCCCCCCTAATTCTGGCATTAAGGAGCTTACAAAACTGAATGAAATGAAAATGTCTTTTATTGGAGCCATGAAAATACACCACCCACGTCCATGTCCTCAAAGAAAGTAAATGAAGAACATTACAGTGAATATCACCTTATCTGGAGCAAAATCCACTGGAACCATACAGTGGTAGGAACACTTAAATGAACCCTTTGATTAATAACTAGACGATGTGTGTAGGCTAGCATCAGAGTGAGAAAATTCCAACAGTCATTGTCTCAAAAAAGTCTCTCACACTTCATGAGTTTCCTCTGAAGAATCTCCCAAGTTCTCACAGTGAAGACCTATGAAAATACCTTCACATTTTCTGGCAGGAATAGAGAAAATAGAAACATTTTGAAATATAATCTGGTTATTCTCCATAACAGAAGACTACTCAGCAGAGTTCTAGAGCCTTACCCTACATGAAGAAAGAGAAATTGCCCAACTCCAAACCATTGTAGCCTCCTTATCTCATCAAAGGTGTGTATTGGTGGGGAGATTGAGGTGCAGGGTTTAGGACTAGAAATTATGGCACACAGGACCACTAAAAGAGTGAGATATACTCCTATACCCCACCACCCTGCCACACACACCTTACCATCATATTAACAGGACTACAGTGTGGTAATGGTTAAAAGAGCTTATGTTGCACTTACATGTTGTACTTAAATGTTCTAAGGAAATGACCTTGGGGAAAGCTACAGATACTAGAGGAAATTGAAGCCTCTGTCAGGTATAGCCTCAGTAGACATTTAACATACCCTATATCCTAGTGAGGTTAATATAAATCCTAGCACTAAAAATCTATTAACCTCAGTTCCTATTTCCTAATACATCATGTCTGGCTTTCAAAAACTATAGAAAAAACCCCAAGTCTTGCTAAAAGACAAGGGGAAAAATAAACAGTCAGAATAGACAAAGCAAGCATCAAATCCACAAAAGTATCACATCAATTTTGCAATTATCATACATGAAGCCCTAAATTCTATGACTAATACACTAAAAGCATTCATTGAAAAAGCAGGCAACATGCAAGAACAGATACAGAATGTAAAAAAGAGAGATGAGAATCAAAATTAATTGTTAAAAATAAAAAACACTATAACAGAAATAAGACTGGCTTTGATGGGCTCATGAGTGGACTACACATGGCCAAGGAAAGAATAAATAAGTTTGAATGAATATCAATAGAAGCTTTCCAAATGAAAGGCAAAGAGAAAAAAAAATGTTAAAGTCTAAATCCCCCCAAAAATTGTAATACATTTTGGAAATTTGTAAATACGTGGGAGAAGAAAAAGAGAGTAAAGCAGAAGAAATATTTGGAGTAATCATTTAAGATTAACAGTAAGAATTTTTAAAAAATCAATGACAAATTATCCATATAGATGAAATTTTATATGGATCCAATATAGATTAAACTGGAAGATATCATGCTAGGTGAAATAAGCCAGACATAGAAAGAAAAACACTGTAATAGCAAACTTATATATGGAATATTTTTTAAAAAATTGAATACATAGAAAAATTGAGAAGGACAGTGGTTACCAAGAGCAGCAGGGGGCTGGGGAAGAAAATGGGAAGATATAGGACAAAGGGTATTAAATATTATGTTGTAGACCTTAAATATATACAATTAAAACTAATATAAAAATCACCTAAATAAAAACTAAATCCTATAAGTTCCTGTTTTAATCACATAGTAGAAAAAAGGAGACAATAAAGAGAAGTACAATGAATAATAAACTGTTACAGACATGGTAGGTATTAATCCAAAAGTATAGAAAAATCACTTTAAACATGAATGATCTGAATTCATCATTTAAAAGTAAGAATATTAGAGTGGATAAAAATAAACAAGACTATCTGTATGCTATTTAGAAGATACCCATTTTAAATGGACACAGAAGTAAAGGGATGCATAAACATGTAGCATGTTAACAGTAATTTAAAAAGCAGGGGTAGTCATAGTAATTTCAGACAAAGCAGACTTTAGAAAGAAGGGAAATTAGCAAGGATAAAAAGTGCATTACATAATAGTGAACCCAAAGTTTGAGATGAAACTAGAATCTCCACTTCTGCTGGTATATGTGTACAGTCAGGTGGGATCTGCATAAGCTGCAGACCTCAGCAGCTCACCACCAATTTCTTGTTTCTGGGTGCTTATCTTGTGCATTTGAAGAATGAAATCCACAATTCATAGACAAGGATGAGTGAGTAGGATTTATTCAAGTGTGACTAGAAACAGAACTCCTGCGGGTGAGAGGGGACCCAATGGGAGTTGCCACCTGATAGTGCTAGTCTAGAGCTTTATATAGCACTTGGGTCAATGCTATTGGTCCAGACTTTTGCTAATCAGGGTTTGGAAAAATAGGAATGCTATTAATTAACTGTTGAAACTGAACTTCCATTCAGGTCCACCCCACTTCCATTTTCTTGATGCTCCTTGGGAAACAGAAAGTTGAGATTCTTGGATCGTGGATGTTCCAGGTTCCCAGTTGCAGTGCTTTGTGCAGCCGGCTTCTGCAGTGGGCTTCAGCACTGACCTGAGCGATCCACCATGGGGTGACAGGTCTGTAAGCCTTGGCTTGCCTAGGTGCTGGCTGGCAGTGCCTCAGGCCCCTGTGGGTATACAGGATCTGTGAGGCTGCAGCCCATGCTCACTGCCTGTGTTCCAGCCCACCCTGGCCTCTGCTCTGCAGCTCCACTGCTGCTTCACTGCCACTTCTTGTAGAGAGATTAGTGGACTGGCTATGTGGCCTGGCAGCCAGGGAGCCTTGTCAATACTAAGGGGATCAGTTCTCTAAGAAGACATAACACTGCTTAAGTGTACACATTTGACAACAGGGAGGCAAAATATAAAGGGCAAAAACTGCTAGAAATGCAGAGAAATAGATGAAATCCACTGTTACTATCAGAGAGTTCAACAAGTATCTCTCAGTAACTGACAAATCCAGGAGGCAGAAAATCAATAAGGATATGTTTGACCTGAATTGTACCATCAATTAATTTGATATCATTGATATTTAATAAATAATTTACCAACAGCAAAATAAATACTCTTCAAAAGATCACACAGAATATTCACCAGGATAGGACACAATCTAGACATACCTTAACAGATTTAAAAAAGTAGAAATCAGACAAAGTATGTTTTTAGACCAAATTGGAGTTAACTAAAAATCAGTAATAGAAAGGTAGCTGAAAAATCCCAAAAGCTTCTCAGTTTAAACAATTTAAATAATTTATATTATTAATTTGTCAAAGAAGTAGTATCAAGAAAAAAATTCTTTAAAATGAAAATACAATGCATCAAAATGTAGGGAATGCAGAAAATCAGTGCTTACAGGTGAAATTATAGCATTAAATGCATATATAATTGTAGAAGAAATATCTAAAATTTTGGAGCATCTTCTGTTTACTTACCTGATTGATGTCTCTCTGTTTGCAGGATATGGGGAAATATAGATCTGTTGTCAGGTAGCTCAGGGACAGGAGGAACCCCACTCCACACAGAAAGTCAAGGATAGGAACATCCAAGAAGTCAAGCTGAAGCTCATCCATGCTGCAGCAAGGCTCCTCAGACAAAGAAGAGGGCCTGCTTCACCAGAAGTTGGTCACTAAGAGTGCATGTTCTAGAACACAGTTCCAGATCCACATCACAGAGCTTTAGTACAGACACCAGAGGTTCTTGAGGGTGGGGGAGGGGACAACACATGGGAGATGAACCCATGCCCTTCGCCCATTACCAAACCCTGCTGATCTATCCATTCCCCTAGGGACTTTGAGATTCCTCCACCTCCCCCCCAACCCCCAACTCCACCCTTTCACTATATCATACATCCACCTCAGTGAAATATTCTGCTTTTTTCTTCTGTTACCTGGAGAAACAAGAGAGCACTTCACTGTTTGGTGATCTCTCACATAGGACCAAAGAACAGAAACCAAGATGAAGAGGAAAACAAGGGCATAGCTTGTCCATGGCAATATCTTCTAATAAATCTTTCTCTACAAATCTCTTTTAAGCTATCCTGCCCCTTCAGGCTCTCCAATATCTCCCTCTCTACTGGTATACTGTCCCACCCGGCTGCCTCTTGGCTCTCCCCACTTATCCCCCTACTCTCTCCTTTCCAACAGTTTTTAACTGTCTTGATTTCACAGAGCAGTTGTGCTAGACCATAACCTATGACCAAACCCATCCTGATTTGAAAAGTAGGCTTCTCTGCAGTGTCATATAAACCTCTAATGAGCACAGTTAAAATTCTATTTAGCAAAGTAGGTTACTTTCTCCCAGCATGTATGGTTACATTCTCATGAAATTATGAGGTTTCATCTCTTCCCAACTTTGTTTCTAACAAAATTCCTACTGGTTCCTCCAAATGTTTTTTGAAACAAGATGTTATTCTTGTGGATGGTGTAGAGTATATGTATTTTTAATCTCCCCATGTGAGCTAGCTATTTAACATTTATTACCCTTAAAGCTTTCTTGTTTAGATTATAAATGATTATACTTAAATTAGGATTGAAATTAAGCCCTGTGTCTTTTCCTGAAATTGTCTGCATCTCTTCGCTGGGTCTGATGAATTCATCTGCTTTGGCCACAGACATCCAACCCTTTCCTTTTCACGTGATGAAGGCTTTTCAGTATTAACAGCCCCCTTCTTTGCTTGTCTTCAGCATCCACAGCTTCTTCTGGTCTCTACCTAACAGAAGGTCTTCATCAAGCCTGTCTCCTCTTATCTACCTTCCCTTGACTACAGGAGGTCTCTCTATATAGAAAAATCTCCACATAGCCTAGCATCTCTAGTATTATTGTTTGTTTGTTTACAACAAACCTGGCCCTGGCAACCCCTGAGGTCCCAAGGATCACAAATATAAAAGCATTCTTTAAAATCTGAGCAAGATAAACTCCACCCCAAAACTTCTAGATAGAAATGGAGTTATAAAACACAACATTGGATATATTATTAAAAATTGTCATGTTAAGAAAAAAAGAAGGGCTAAGAAACTGTTCCAGTTTAAAGAAGACCAAAGATACACAACAACTAAAGGAAATGTGACACTCTAGGCTGTATCTTATAATGGAGATTTAAAAAATTATAGTCTCAAGGTATATTACTGGGAAAAAAATCACAAAAATGCAGTATGAATGAGATTAGTTCAAAATTTTTATGACTATGCTAAATTTATGAAAGGGGAAAATTTAGTATATAAGAGAATATCTTTTTTTTAATATTCACAATAAAATATATAAGGAGAAAAAGCATGATGCATGAAATGTATTCTGAAATATTCAGGAATAAATGTGTATTAATCTTGTGTGTATTTGTGTATATATGCATATATGTACATGTGTATGTGTATATACACATATATTATATACACATACACATATACATATACATGCACACACATATATACATATAGAGAGGCAGTGAGAGAGGATCCGACAAATGTGTCAAAATGTTAACAGGTAGTTTTACTTTTTAAACAATTTATTGAAGCATATTCATATAGCATAAAATTCACCCAATTCAAGTGTATAATTCAGTGATTTAAAAAACTATTTTTAGTTGTAGTTGGACACAATGCCTTTATTTATTTATTGTTATGTGGTGCTGAGGATAGAAACCAGTGCCTCGCACATGCTAAGTGAGCACTCTACCGCTGAGCCACAACCCTAGCCCCTAATTCAGTGATTTCTAGTGTATTCAGAGTTGTGCATTGTCGCTGGAGTCAATTTTAAAATGCTTTTGTGACTTCAAAAAGAAACCATGGATTCTAGATTTCACACTTATTAGCCTTCATCCCCCAGCCTTAAGCAATCACTAGTCTACTTTCTGTTTCTAATTAAAATTCCCTATTTCATTTCATAAGAATAGAATCAGGTAATATGTGGTCACTTGCTACTGACTTTTTTCACTTAGTGTAATTCCAAAGTTCATCCATGTTGTAGCATGTATCAATGTTTTATTCCTTTCTTATGGCTAAATATTATTTCATTTGCATAGATATACCACATTTGTTTATCCATTCACTAGTTGATGGGCATGTGGGTTGTTACCATCCTGGGCTATTGTGATAATGCAGCTATAAATATTCATGCATAAATTTCTGTATTTTCATTTCTCTTAGGTATATACCTAGAAAAGGTATCACTGGGTCCTATGGTAACTCTACATATGGAATTTTAAGGAATTTCCAGAATGTTTTATAAAACAACTGTACCATTTTACATTTTAACCAGCAGAGTATGAAACTTCCATCAATTTCTCCATTTTTCCTCAGAGGTATTTATCTGACTTGTTGATGCTTACTATCCTAATAAGTGCAAAAGTTATCTCTCAGTGTGTTTCATTTTTGTTTTCTTGATGACTTGATGTCAAGCACATTTTTATATAATCTTTTACATTTAGTGACATTTGGGGAAGGAGAGGAAATTTATGGCTAGAAAAAAACACATTGTTTTCTTCTAAGTATTTGAAAACATTGACATGGAACTTTCAAGCATTTATCAGCATGGACATATTTCTATTTCTTTAGTTTTAATTAAGGTTACCATATGATTAAGGCACTCCAATATTGTGTGCTGAATTTGCAAAGACTATTTCTTGTACTGTCTGTGTTAAGGGGTGGAACTCAGGTAAATGGCTCCTCATAATTACTAAATGATAGAGCAGAACTCATTGCCAAAGCCAAAAAGGCTCAATGTTTTTAGTCACTAGTGCCATGGTCCACTGTTGTAGATAAATATGTTCCTCCTATGAAAATATCAAAGGATTATGAGTGTATTAACATATAATACCATATCATCTAAGAATGACAAGATATTTAAATGAATTTTGGAATTTTAATCAAGAAGAGGATACCTCACTCATGTCAAATGATAATTGCTGAGGGAGTGTACACAGACAGTTGTATTGTTCTATATGTGCCTAAATATGTTTAAAATTTTTTGTAATGAAAAGCTTTGAAAAGTGAAAGATGTTGACTGATTCATGAGGAGAGAGAGGGACCAATGAGGATAACTGTCAAAAGGATATTTGTCCTTGAAGACTAGAGTTTAGCCATCTCTCCATAAAAACATTTCAGGAAGTCTAATTCCTTTAAAGAGGGTACCTTGGAAAGAAAATTCTTTTTTTAAAAATATTTTTATTAGTTATAGATGGACACATGCCTTTATTTAATCTGTTTATTTTTTACATGGTGCTGAGAATAGAACCCAGTGCCTCACACATGCTAGGCAAGTGCTCTACCACTGAGCCCCCACCCCAGACCAGATAGAAAATTCTTTCTATATAACAGGAAGAAGGAAGGAAAGGAGGGAAATTTTTCGAAGGTTTTATTTATGCAACATTCCCATATGATGACTTCAAGTTTTTCTATGAATGGTGAATCAGTAAAGATGGCCTCATTTCGAGAAAAGTATAAGTTTTTTGTCAGAGATGTGAGCAGCATGGGAGAGGGGGTGGACTAAAGAATCAGTAACCTAAGTTCTAAGGAGTTTACTCATTGAGAGCAAGAACAGGATAACTGTGGAATGAATGCATAAATGATAGTACTGTTCATGACTTCCTTATGATGCCAGGACACTTGATTGTGAGATTTAATTGAACAGTGATCAGTCACATATGGAATATGTTTCTGAAGAAGGCAGATTTCTCCAGACAGGAAGATAAAAAGGATTAGATGAGGCCAGTTTGGAATGGGACTTTTGAATGTTGGTTGCCTTAGATACCTTGAGATCCACCTTGAAGAGGGAGAAAATGAAGACAAGAGCTTGGTGGATAAAATAGTAAGTGGAAAATTTAATGTGTTGGAATTGGAAAACAATGACAAATTGAGGGCATATGCTGGAAGCATGGGGGGTGGGGTGGGTGAGGTCAAAGGGTGGAAATTCAGGCTGTCTATATTACACCAGAGAGCAGATTTTAAGAACTGAACTAAATGGAGGTAAAGGACCTAACATAAGACAATAGAGACATTGAGAGACCAAGTTATTGGCTGCTGGCTCCTTGATACTCCACCTTCTGGCCATCCAAGGAATTCTACATAATGTACATTATTTCCGCAACCCTATGATTTGGACACTGAAGGGTCAATGGCATAATTCTAGAAGAGATAGGATGGTAGAGTGAAGGGCTTTAGTAGACATGTTTTGTTTTTATTTTCACACCCAGCATGCATGAATTTTCTGGAGAAATTACCTCAAATTCCCTTTAGGAAACACCCTAAAATTGAACAACAAGGGAAGTTGCCTTCCTCCAGTAAACTACTTTAAATCTAGGTATTTACACAATCTTGAGCAATAAAAATATTACATGGAGGATCATAGTGAGCCCCTAAATAGCTATAATGCTAGTGAATAGTCTAGGACTCACCACTGCATCAGGAACTGCAGGTGACCTGGAAAGATTTACCAAACTCCACCAAACTAATGAAGGTCAAAGGGGGCACCACTGTCCTAATAGGTGACCTGTACACACTAAGGTTAAGATCTTGCATGTTGTCAAAAAGCATAAGTGAAAGGAAGGGACCAAGGGCACCTTCCCTAAAGTGAGGAATGACATGCTTGACATCAGCCCTACAGATACTTTGTGTTCAAAAAACAGCCCTATATACATTTTTGCCTGTGAGCTCTGTAGTCCCCTAAAGAACCTCAGGGAAGTGCTGTCGGGATAACACTGGAAAATGGAGGAAGATGACAGGGCAGGATGTGGGGATGAAGGGGCATGAACTCCTCTTGCACCAACAAAGTCATTCTTTACTCTCTGTGTGCATGTTTTTCTTACTTTCCCACTCATCCTAAGACATCTTTTCCTTACTTTCAGCTTTATTTTACCCTGACATTCGTACAACTTGACAGTTGCAGACAGGGACAGCTGGGATCCTTTTGCTCTACAAAGCCATCAGTCCAGGAAGCCTGAAAAAAGTAAGCCAGGGAGGGGAACCATTTGCCTTAGGGATGTTCCCATAAGGGAACTTCAATAGCAAGGTCATATAGTGGCACCCCTGCCGCAGTCTGTGGGCACAATTCAGGAGCCACTTATCAAGCAGAAACAAACTTTATTTTTAGAACACACATGCCCACCGCAGTAGCTCTTCAGGAATTCCCTCAGAGCCCAACTGCCACCACCAGCTTCCTGCGAGCCTCTCAACCCCCCACTCCTCCCGCTCTTGAGGCCGATTGGCTGGGTCGTGTGGGCGGAGTCAAAAGAGTCCCCCAATGAGCAGCTCCGTGGTCTGAAAGGGCGGGGAAATAGCCCAATGAGCATCACCGCAGAGGAGCCAATCAGCTGGCAGCTGGAAGTTTGCTGGAGCCACCGTGAACCAATCAGCTGGAAGTTTGCTGGGGCCCCTTCCGCTGTGGCTCTCAACACACCCCCTCCTGCACTCCCTCTGAAAATCTTAATTAAGCTTCTCCAGAGACTCTCAAAAATTCTGCTTGGCCTAATTGTTCTTAGACTATCAGCAAGAATTTCTACAACAGTGTCTTCAGGTAAGAGATGTTTGCTGAAGCAGAGTGAGATAAAGGACTAACCCAAGGCATTCACAGAGGCGTTTGCATTTCAAAGAACAGTGGAGAAATCCTTGAAAACCGGCTGGTGAAGGAAAGGGGAGAAAAACTCTCCCTTTCCCAGACACTGATTTTCATAGAGAATGTCCTTGGCCTGAATTGGGTGCCCAGAACAGTGAAAAAGCTGCTTTTATGTGAATTTCTACAGATTGTGAGCCTCTGAGCCTCTCCCCTACAGTGGATATAAAGTTATGAAGCTTTCTGAACTTGGGGTTCAGAGGGTGATTTGATGGAGGCAAAAAGCCCCCATTTTGAATCTGGCTGCCGCCAAAAATCCTGCTTCCTGCTATTCCTCAGTGTCCAGCTTCATCTGTCCCTGCAACAGTCACAGTATGCTTCTGAAACACATTAACATGCCCACATGACAGGTTTGAAAGCAGCACCTCCCCTCTTTCCAGACTTATTTTTATTTTTAGATATGCATGACCATAAAATGCATTTTGACATATTGTACACACATGGAGTATAACATATTCTAAGTAGGATCATATTCTTGTGGTTGAACATGATGTGGAGTTTCACTGGTCGTGTTCCTCCCAGTCTCTCTACCAGCTGGCCTTGCATCCACTGCAGCAATGCCCACAAATGCCCCCAGAAGAGGTTCACCCACGGTGACAGTCTGGTCAGTGACAACTTAAAAAATGACTAAGCCACTCTATTCTAAAAAATATACCTGTCTTCGATTCTCTTTTCTGGTGTGCAAGCCTTATCTGCCTTACTGCCCAATCCATGAGGGGAGAAGGTGTGGGCTGCCAGACAATACCATTAAGGCTAAACTAAGAGGTTGGAAACAGCCACCTCCTCCAATTTCACGAGGAAGGGGATTCAAGAACAGGTCTTAGCTCTTCTTCAACAGCAGCTCTGGGGAACTTGTCACCTTACAGAAGCCAATGAAGGCAAAAAATAAGAGCTTAACTTTTCTCTTCCCAAAGCACAACCGATAGGTTACTAAAACCCATGCACCTAACACAGTACACAGAAAACACACAACTCTTGTAAGAAAATTTATTAGGAACAATCAGGAATCTCCATCAGGAATAATCATTAGGAGGAAGGAAATTTTCCTCTGTGAAAACATTGGATAAGAATTTTCTCTTTAAATAGTAGGGAAAGATCTCCCAACACAGTGACTTCAGAAGGTGCACGGGCAGGCACAGGCACCTGACCCACTTGATACCCACAGATGAGACTTGGATGAGACTTGGGATCCCTGTGGGGCATGCGTGGGAATTGCTTTTGATCCCTAAATGCCTCAGTGTTTGGGGATTCTCTGTTCAAGTCTCTAATCTGTTTATTCCTTTTAAGACAGCTCTGGCCAGCAAGGCCTGATTCTTGGCTACAGGACTTGACCCTTGTTACTTTAGAACAAGGAGGCTTGTAATTGAAAGGATGCACCTGGACAGACTCAGCCTGGACCTGAAGTCCTGCCTTGGGCTGAGTTTTCCCAGACTTCTTGGGGGACAAATGTGGCTCTTGGGGGCAGGTGACATTGATTCCAT